GTCATAACGTTATGGCTGAAGAATGGAAAACATTTATTTTGCTGTAATTTAATCATCTCTAGTTGATTTTTGTCATTTAATGAGACAAACACGTTGTGGACCTGCTGGTTTTTGACTCAAATCCTGTCTTTTAACAGTTAAAATGAGTCTGGTGTGTTGAAGCAAAATTATATCAGGTAAAACTAAGAAAAACAAATAAATCAACGGCTGCAGTTGATCTGGTTAACCGGAGGCGGTGGTGCGAGACCGGCTGCAGAACATCCAGCTCAGACATTACGTGTTGTTTACATGTTTGTTTTCCTCCACGACGCTGAGCGGAGTTTCTGTTTGTCTCGACAGAGATCCGGGAGGCCTTCAAGGTTCTGGATCGGGACGGAAACGGGTTCATCTCCAAGCAGGAGCTGGGCATGGCCATGCGCTCTCTGGGGTACATGCCCAGCGAGGTGGAGCTGGCCATCATCATGCAGAGACTAGACATGGACGGTGAGTCACGTGCACGCTCACACTGTAACGTGCACGCTCACACTGTAACGTGCACGCTCACACTGTCACGTGCACGCTCGCGCCTGAAACAGTTTGTGCTGAAGGAAGGCTCGATGCAGAAGGTCTGTGTGCGACGCCAACAGTAAAATAAAACATTTTATTATTTAGCTCAGTTCTTAATTCAGATAAATGTTATATAAATACATTCAGTCAGTACATCTAGTACTTTTCAGTGTTTATAAAAGGACATGTTTAAACGCTGTTTCYCTGCAGGAAATACCAGGTAGAGCTCAGTTAGTGTTTGTTAGTGGAGCTCAGGAAGGTGACGTTTCCTGTTTAGTTGAAGTTAATCACAGCTGGACCTTAGAGGACACCATGATGCTCGTGAGTTTCACACTCCTGCACTACGAGAAGGAAAAAAAAATCATAAAAGTATTTATTGTTTTTAAATAAAAGGCGTTTAAAAATGTGTTCGTTTCTCCACCTTTAACCCACCCTGTGAGGAAAAAGCTCTCAGCTGTAAGAAAAAACAACGAGCTGTTTGTGATTTTAGACGTTTTTTTTCTAACACCTGACATTTTCCAAAGGATGGACTGTTAAAGACGAGCCACATGTAAATGTCACATCTGCTGTTTGCTTTTATGTAACTGCTGCTGGTTKAACTCAAGAAAAAATAAAGAAATATTAAAGTCTGGATGTTCCTCCTCCTCCTGTGATTCTGCTTGGAGGTTTGGATCTGGTTGTTTTGTTTGTTCCGACCCAAAGAAGAAGAAGTGATTGAGTTGTTAGAGCAGCTGTGTGACACACCGCTCTGTTTWTTTATTTATTCTCCGGCTTCATCTCTCCATCTGTTTATTGACTCAGAGCTGGGCTTCACTCCTGCTTCCAAACATCTTTACTTTTCTTGTTTGAGGACTCGGGTCGACTTGTTTTATTGATTGTTGTATTATACCAAACACCAGCGTTTGTTTTTGTTCACCTGTCGATAGTTTGCAAGATTCAATMAAATATGAGTCATTCAGAGACTGCTCTGAGTTTTAGGCCGAAAAATAAAAACTGACCAAAACTGTTGGGTTTATTTTTTTTGGACACGTCAGGTCTTTATTGGTCATTTTTTTGGACACGTCAGGTCTTTATTGGTCATTTTTTTGGACACGTCAAGTTTTTATTGGTCATTTTTTGGACACGTCAGGTCTTTATTGGTCATTTTTAGACACGTCAGGTCTTTATTGGTCATTTTTGGACACATCAGGTCTTTATTGGTCATTTTTTGGACACGTCAGGTCTTTATTGGTCTTTTTTTTTGGACACGTCAGGTCTTTATTGGTCATTTTTTGGACATGTCAAGTTTTTATTGGTCATTTTTTGGACACGTCAGGTATTTTTTGGTCATTTTTTTTGGTCACGTCAGGTCTTTATTGGTCATTGTTTGGACACATCATTTTTATTGGTCGCTTTTTGGACACATCAGGTCTTTATTGGTCATTTTTAGACACGTCAGGTCTTTATTGGTCATTTTTGGACACGTCAGGTCTTTATTGGTCGCTTTTTGGACACTTCAGGTCTTTATTGGTCATTTTTTGGACACGTCAGGTCTTTATTGGTCATTTTTGGACACGTCAGGTCTTTATTGGTCATCTGTGGACACGTCAGGTCTTTATTGGTCATTTTTTGGACACGTCAGGTCTTTATTGGTCATTTTTGGACACGTCAGGTCTTTATTGGTCATCTGTGGACACGTCAGGTCTTTATTGGTCATTTTTTGGACACGCCAGGACTTTATTGGTCATTTTTTGGACACGTCAAGTTTTTATTGGTCATTTTGTGGACACGTCAGGTCTTTATTGGTCATTTTTTGGACACGTCAGGTCTTTATTGGTCATTTTTGGGACACGCCAGGTCTTTATTGGTCATTTTTTGGACACGTCAAGTTTTTATTGGTCATTTTGTGGACACGTCAGGTCTTTATTGGTCATTTTTTGGACACGTCAGGTCTTTATTGGTCATTGTTTGGACACATCATTTTTATTGGTCGCTTTTTGGACACTTCAGGTCTTTATTGGTCATTTTTGGACACGTCAAGTTTTTATTGGTCATTTTTTGGACACGTCAGGTATTTATTGGTCACTTTTTGGACACGTCAGGTATTTATTGGTCACTTTTTGGACACGTCAGGTATTTATTGGTCACTTT